ATGCATTCGTCTTCCTGCATTTCGCAGGTAGGCTGAGGAGTAGCTAGGGGAGAAAACCTTCCCTTTTATCTGATCACTGTTTACTGAAAGCAGAACACTGAGAAAACCCTGTGATGCTCCTTCCAACCCTTACAGATGAGCTGATTCCTGGCTGCGAGCTCCGCTGGGCACTCACCAAACACTTCCAAGCGGAAACTACCATTGTTCTGGATCCCAAAGGCCAGGCTTCTCTCTCACTGCTTTTTTCCCCCAAATCAAATGATTTTCTTCAGCATTTTGGAAGAGCATTTCTCTTCTTTGGCCAGCTGAGCAATCAAAGAGCACAGCAGAATGTATTGATCATTGCTACGCATGCACACGTGTCGCTTCCTGGCTGGTAAATGTAATCATTTACCTTCAGACAACAGAAGGTTTGCTCTAGAAATCACAACTGGGAGATAATAGTATGGATTACAGTCTTGAGAGGATACAGAGAAAAGCAATTTTTGGAGTGACACACTGGAGCAAGGAATTAAACCTAGTTTACTCCGAACACCAGCGATTCGAGAGACGGCTGATGCCTGCAGTGCAGCCGAGGGCACCAGGGCAGTGTGGAGTGGGTGCTGAGGGCCACTGCCAGCGGGGCTGGCCAAGCTGGAACGTGTTCCCACGGGCCACGCAGTCCGTGAGGAAGCTTCGGTGGAGAGTGGCCTTTGCAAGGTCCTGGCCTAACGCCTTTCTCTGTGAGCTTGCAACTCTTTGCCCACTAGCTCTGCTACATGGCTAAATGGCTGAATGGAGCCGGATCATAGGCTCAGCATGGCAAGGCCACACATCTCTGAAGACATTCTCAGTGCCCTTTCCATTCTCTCAAACACCTGCTTGAACTGAAGAGAGGGAAGTCTGTGAGCTTCAACTCTGCCAGCGTGGACACTGGAAGCTGGGCTCTAAATGCTCCACGTGCTAAGTCCCAGGGACAGTGCCGGAAAGCCGTGCCCCTCCCCTGGTGCCGTGGCTTCTTCAGATCCCACCTGGGAAACTACAGTTGGCTCTGCCTGAATCCCAGTGCCCCGTCAGCAACGAGGGGAAAGAGGACTGCTAGTTATAAACATGCTGCTTGCAGGGCTGGGAAAGTGGCTCAGTGGTAGAGTGCTAGCCTTGCATGCCTGAGGCCCTGGGTTCAATTCCTCAGCACCACATAAGCAAAAAGAAAAAAAGCCGGAAGTGGCACTGTGGCTCAAGTGGTAGGGTGCTAGCCTTGAGCTGAAGAGCTGAGGGATAGCGCCCTTCAGGCCCCACGACCGGACCCCCCAAAAAAACCCAAAAAACAAGTAAACATGCTGCTTGCAGCCTGCGACCCTGGGGGTCCGCAGCCATTTCTAGAAGTCAAAGTTTTACACATCTGCTGCACCATTCCTTCTCGCTCTCAGGCCTCAGCCTTTCCCCCCACTAGTCCCGTCCCCATGGAGCCAGCCCCAGTTCTACGATGCTCCACCAAAAGGGACTTTATTCTGTTCTCTTAATAGTTGCTGGACTGATAATTAAGGTCTCCGCAATGACCAGTTCCCAAACCTCACGCCTGTAGTTTCTGATGCTCTTGCAAAGTGGCTTCTGGAGGAAATGGATTTAGACTGACAGGCCATGTGTGACTCAGGTAATTCCCCCAGGTGTCTTCTACCTCTGGGAGATTCTCTGCTGCTGGTGTAGAACCCACCACTGGGGTGCCGGTGCACCGGCCTGGGGTGCCGGTGCGGTGCCGGTGCACCGGCCTGGGGTGCCGGCATCGGAGGCTGAGTGGTGGCAGCAGCCATGGGGAAGGATCTCACCTGGTGTTTGAGAGGTGCTGTGGTGCGGCCTGGGGCCGGGGGGAGTCCTGGGGTCGCTTCCACGGAGCTTGTGGTGCAGAAGCTGTTTCCAGTTGCAGGTTGTCAGGCTGGTCTTTAGCAAGAGAAGCTTCCAGATGAGGGTGGGATGAAGAAAGAATGAGTTAGCAGTGGATGCAGAGCCATAAATAACGGCGTGCCTGCGTGGAGCCCCAGCCCTGACTGTCAGGCGGATGACAGAGGGGAGAGCGTGGAGTCGAGAGATCAGGGGCTGTGCTCACAAATGAAAATCCTCTCCAGAACCTCCTGCCAGGACCTGGCCCCAAGAGTGGACAACAGACAGACAATGAGCTCTACTCGCACCGCTCTGCAGGGCTTGATTCATGGCTTCATGGCCCTATTCCGGCAGAGGGGGGGGGGGGGCAGTGAGTAGCATCCTGGAGCCTGCTCCTGATGCCCAGTGATTTCTATTCCCCAGAGCCCTGGAGCAGATGTGGGCAGGGCAGGTGGGCACCGAGGAGGGGGCTGCCACCTCTTCACACAGCTTCCTTCTGACACTCCCCTGCTCAGGCCAGCCTGGTGGATTTTTTGTTGTTGGTCGTGGGGCCTGAACTCTAGGCCCTGGCGCTGTCCCTCAGCTCTTCAGCTCAAGGCTAGAGCTCTACCACTTGAGCCACAGCACCACCTCCAGCTTTTTCTGCTTATGTGGTGCTGAGGAATTGAACCCAGGGCCTCATGCATGCAAGGCAAGCGCTCTACCACTGAGCCACCTTCCCAGCCCTCCTGCTGGACTTTGACCCGCCACCCTCCTCTTCTCATGGGCTAGTGATTTAAATCCCAACCGCATATAATCCTGGGCATACAGAGTCAGGTGGGGTGAGTGCTGGTGGATGGGCAATGCCACCCTCAAGGGTCCAGGGGTAGAAAGCACCAAAGAAGGAAGTCCAGGCCAGAACCCTCAGGCTAGAGAGCTGGAGGGAAATGGTGGTGGTCCAGCCCAGGGGAGGACAAAGACGCAGCATCCAGGGGCCAGAGCCTGATGGACAGACAGATACACCAGAATGTAGATGGGACAGAGGGAAAAGAGAGGTGTGCCAGGTGTCAGACACACGGGGTCACTGACTCCAGGTGGCCTCCTTCTATGCTTCATGGCCCCAGGGCTGGCATCTCCTCTTCCCAAGGCCTTGGGTGCTCCCCAGCTGCATCTGCGTGCCCAGCTCTTTCTGCCGAGCCCGGACGGCATGTCCACGGGTGCGCTCCTGTCTCCCTCCTCCTCCTCCCCGCCACGGCTCAGCAGCCTGTGCGGCGTGGACACTCCTGTGGGCACTGGCATGCCCATCCAACACCTCTCAGCCAAAGGACTGAGAAGCTTTTTTTTCTTTTTTGGAGGTATTGGGGTTTGAGCCCAGCCTTGTGCTTGCTAGGCAAATATTCTACCCCTTGTTGCGAAGGTTCTCAAAGGCAGAGGCTTCTGGACTTTAAACCATCGAGGCTTCGTTTGGGGTTTGGCAAATGCTTGCTGGATAGTTAATTTGTTGTCTGAGACAGGATCTCGCTATGTACCTCCCTAGCCTTGAACTTGAGACGCTCCCTCCTCAACTTGCCCAGTGCTGGGATCACAGGCTTGTACCTTCACAGCTGGCTTACAGTGAGCATGTCTGAAGTCTACTCTGCTGAAATGAGCGAGTCACCAGCGAGTAACTTTGTTTTCTTAGTCTCTCTCAGATGTGTAATATCGGGATTTGTGTTCCTTTTTAAGCTCAGTGTATCAGTCTCAACACAGCCCTGCCATCCCAGCATGGCACGTAAAGGTGGAGAAGTGAAGAGCCATTAGCCGCACTAGGGAAGGGATGCAGGTAGTGAGGGTAGTGAGAACGCCCAAGGGTTGTTGTGGTCTAGGAAGCAGGTGTGATGTGTCGAGGGCGGTGAGTTGAGCCAGGGCTCGTGAGGGGTCATGCCCAGGACGTCACCGGAGGTGCAGATGTGGCAAGGGAACCGGCGGCACTGGTGGCACCCCTGGACCGGCTGCACAGGCCGGACCGTAAATGGCGATGGCCTTATCAGTGACATGGCGTGTTACTCTGGAGGGTCAGGAACTAGGAAACCCACCCCATTAAGCTTGGGCTTCTGAGGGCTCAGGGTGCGGCTGACAGCTCCAGCAGAGCTGGAGATCATGGAAGCGATACAGCCCAGCCAGTCTGCTCCCTCCACAGAGCAGACTCCTCAGCTCTAGGCAGGCAGCCGCGTTCACATGACAAATGTGTCCCTGGACAGAGGAGCTGTGGAGTGATATTTACCAGGGTCTCCGTGAAGAGTCCTCTGCTGGCTCCCAAGAGAGCTCCAAGCCTTGGCCGGCTCAGCTCGGGCCTGCGGAGGCATCCAGAGCCTTCCAGCACAGGGAGCCCTGGTGATTTGTTTCTTGTCCTCAGCTCCTCCCTCTCCCATTGGGGGCTGGGGGGGTGGTGTTAAGGGTGAGGGGGGTGGGGAGGAGGTCACTGTGTGTGTCCACACAGGAGGAAGCTGGCCTAGGACCGGTGACTCTCATACCCAGTGCTCAGACCTAAGATGATAGGCTCTGTGCTCTGCACATTAGAAAGTTCATCTCACCGCAACCCTGCTGTGTGTGCCAGGGACTGGAGGGGGCTGCCCAGAGCCCCAGCAAAGGAGGGGCTGTGAACCAGACTCTGCCTCTGGCAACCTGATGCCTTCCTGGTAGCTGTATACTTCTGACATGCTGCCAGGGGCTGTGTTACTGTGTGTCACAGAGAAAATACACATTTGCTCAGAAATGGACATGCTCAGCTTGTCGAAAGGGCTGGAGGAGCAGACTTGGTCTAAAGTGCCCACGCCACCAAATGGCAAAGCCACTTGTGGTCACATCTGTGTCCTGTTTTTGAGTGCCATCTGGGCTGTGTCCCCCAGGTCTGGGGTTGTCCGTGCCACCTTCCTCTCTGCCCAGGAATGGTCTGGGGTGGGAGGGGCACGTGATGGGCTTGGGCACGCTCCCAGCTGAGCCGTGTGACAGACTACAGACCTTCAGAGCAAGAGGAAGAAAGCTGTGTGGGAGGAGCCTCAGGCCTCGGAGGAGGGCAGGGCAGGCAGGGAGACCTGGCCCAGGAGGCGCAGTGCGCGGTTGGCTGGGCGAGTCCCGCGGTCCAGCGCTGTCTTTATGAGTGGCGTCCCTGCCTCTTCCCGCAGGGCCTGTGCCAGCAGTGAGACGGAGAGCGAGGCCGGAGACATCATGGACCAGCAGTTCGAAGAGATGATCAACAAGCTCAACTCGGTGACCGACCCCACTGGCTTCCTGCGCATGGTGCGGCGCAACAACCTCTACAACAGGTGCGGGGCGAGCCCAGCATGGGGGTCCCGGGAGGGAGGGGGTCCCGGGGAGGGAGGGGTCCAGGGAGGGAGGGAGGGAGGGGGTCCCGGGAGGGAGGGGGTCCCGGGAGGGAGGGGTCCAGGGAGGGAGGGGGAGTGGGTCCCGGGAGGGAGGGGGTCCAGGGAGAGAGGGGGAGGGGTCCAGGGAGGGAGGGAGGGAGGGGGTCCAGCACAGGGCAGACACCTGCCCGCTGCGAGGCTGTGACCTGAGCCAGGCAGCTGCGGAACAGCCCACACTCTCCTGGGCTTCTGGGCCTCCAGCTTGATGTGACACTGGGCTGGTTTGGCGGGACCTGCACAGTGAAGCCGCCCAGCCTCGGAGCTGAATTCCTACAGCCTGGACAGAAGCAAAGCAGCCACACATACACGTTCCTCACCCCACCACCACCACCCTGCCACACCACCAACCCCACCCCACTAACACCCTGCCACACCACCAACCCCACCCCACTAACACCCGTCACCACCCCGCCACACCACCACCAGCCTGCCACACCACCAACCCCACCCCACTAACACCCGTCACCACCCCGCCACACCACCACCAGCCTGCCACACCACCAACCCTCACCCCACTAACGCCCATCACCACCCCGCCACACCACCACCACCCCACACTACCACCCCACCATACCACCACCCCTGCCACACCACCAACCCCACCCCACTAACGCCCATCACCACCCCGCCACGCCACCACTACCCCACACTACCACCCCACCATACCACCACCCCGCCACACCACCAACCCCACCCCACTAACGCCCATCACCACCCCGCCACACCACCACTACCACCACTACCACCCTGCCACACCACCACCCTGCCACACCACCACCCCTCACCCCACTAACGCCCGTCACCACCCCGCCACGCCACCACCACCCCACACTACCACCCCACCATACCACCACCCTGCCACACCACCACCCCTCACCCCACTAACGCCCGTCACCACCCCGCCACACCACCACTACCCCACACTACCACCCCACCATACCACCACCCCGCCACACCACCCTCACCCCACTAACGCCCATCACCACCCCGCCACACCACCACCACCACCACTACCACCAGCCTGCCACGCAACCAACCCTCACCCCACTAACGCCCGTCACCACCCCGCCACGCCACCACCACCCCACACTACCACCCCACCATACCACCACCCCTGCCACACCACCAACCCTCACCCCACTAACGCCCGTCACCACCCCGCCACACCACCACTACCCCACACTACCACCCCACCATACCACCACCCTGCCACACCACCCTCACCCCACTAATGCCCATCACCACCCCGCCACACCACCACCACCACCACTACCACCAGCCTGCCACGCAACCAACCCTCACCCCACTAATGCCCGTCACCACCCCGCCACGCCACCACTACCCCACACTACCACCCCACCATACCACCACCCCGCCACACCACCACCCCTCACCCCACTAATGCCCATCACCACCCCGCCATGCCATCACTACCACCACCCCACCACACCACCACCACCCCACACTACCACCCCACCATACCACCACCAGCCTGCCATGTAACCAACCCTCACCCCACTAACACCTGTCCCTGTCACCACCCCTGCCATGCTACTACTACCCCACCATGCCACCACCCCACACCCCAATACCACCCTACCACCCCCCACACACTACCAACCCACCATACCACCACCCCGCCACAGCACCACACCACCCCATCATAGTTCACAGGCTGCATCCACAGGGCCTCTGGCCGTTGGGCTGATGCGCAGGTCTGCTCACCAGGACATCTGCCATCATAAAGTCAGTGAGGAGTTTAAAGGCGGTATTGCTTCCAGGCCCATTGGCGGGCTGTCCTTGGAGCTTCGTCTCCCACCTTACCTGTCAGAGATGAGGCCGCCCTGTGGCAGGGAGCCGTCTTGTCAGAAATCTGCTCCAAGAAACGGTGTCCTTGGTGCTCATCGTTGACTTGGCCGTGTCACTGGCAGCATCTGGTTTGCTGGTTGGAGTTGTGAGACTTCCCTCTGCCTGTGGTTCTGTGAAGACAGCACAGGCTCTGATGTGGCCTGGGGCCACCATGAACGAGAGGGTGGCGTGTGTGGTCCCAGATGCATCCTTGGGCTCAGCGGGGCGAGGTCCGGGCCTGGCAGCCGAGGAGGGAGAGGCAGGCAGTGCGGGTGACAGAGGCCGTCCCGCGGAAATGCCGTGGCGATGTTCACACGACTCGGCTACAGGGGTCAGAAGTGCGTCTCGGTACTTGAATGTGCTGTTGCCAGCTGGCTCTTCCACTGGAGCTCCCACCCTCGGGAGCCCCTGCCCGAGCAAAGCCCGGCCCATGGTGGCACATTCAGAACAGGAGCCACCTTCGGTCTGTCCCCGCGCTCCCGTGTGTCCCGCGAGGCACCCCGCGAGGCAGGTGGCCCAGTGGAGAGGGCCCAAGGCTGCCTGAGCCAGAAAGTGAGAGGGGGTTGGGCAGGAGGCTCACAGGCAGCCGCTAGGGCAGGTGCCTAAGGAGGGGGAGCCCCGAGCAGAGACGCAGCGGCCCACCCTCGCCAGGAGGAGCAAGCAGCTCAACTCCCACCCAGACACCAAGCAGGGCCTCCCTCCCCACCTGCCACCACGAGGCTCTGTGCTGCTGAGAAGACAGGCATCTCTCTACAACAGAAGGACGAGCCGATGAAGACATTGCAGCATGATAAACTTCTGTCACTTAGCGCTAATGGAGCCTGCTGGAAAGGGAATTGGAAGACAGCGGGACAGCGCCACCTGCTGGGGCCCTGGGGTGGTGCGGCTGCCAGTCTTACCATGGTCACAGTGAGGCCAAGCACACAGCAGATGAGATGTCAAACCCGGCCCTGCCCCTAGCTCTGTGCAGGTCTCTTGCCTTCTCTGAGTCGCTGGGCCTCTCTGGCCCTGGGAGGGCTGATCCATGGCGGGGACGAGCTCCCCTCGTCTCAGAGGTCAAGGGCAGCCTGGTACCACGCCCACCCGGTGCCATAGAAGCACGAGGGAGGCCCGGGTCACACCTCTGGCCTCTGAGCAGCCTCCCAGCTGAGACGCGAGCTCTGTGCTGCACTTCCCCACTGGTCTGTGTCCCTTCTGGGCAGGCGGTGGCAGCCCCCGATGGCCCCACACCTAGTCGGCGGTGAGGGGAGGCAGCGGAGGCATGGCCGGGGCTGCAGGCAGTCCCCGCTGAGGAGGCCTGCCGTTATGGTAGCCCACCCCTAGCTTCACCAGCAAGGGGCCCCCTGCCCCTCACAGGCGGTCAGTGCACAAGGCTGCCGGATCAGGGCTGGGGCTGGCTGGCTGCCTTATGAACAGCCCACTTGTAGCTGCAGGCACCCCCAGCAGGGTGGCTACGACGGTCACTGCAAGCATGCGGCCAGCCTGCAGCCCCCGTGAACACGAAGTGTGGCAGAGGGGGGCCGTGTCCTGCCAGGTCTGCCTCCAGCCCCCGCCCACACCTGTGCGGGGCTCCCAGGGACCTGGAGTGGCTCCAGGCCTCTTCCTGCCCTGCCCTGTGCTTCTGGGCTTGGCTGTGGGGGGCCAGCTCTCCCGTGGGGACAGGCCACACTGGTGTCAGGCCATCAGCATGGAGGGGGAGGTGGCTGGCTGAGAGCTGCTGCTGCTGCAAGCCAGGGCTAGAGGCGGAGCCTCCACACACCTCCTCTGTGTGCAGGACCCGGCCGGCGCTCTCTGACTCACGTCACGGCTTCAGGCTGGCAGGGCCTCCGTTATTCTAGCTGCTACCTGTTTCTGCGCTCTTGGTTTTACTTGGAAACAGACACCTCTAGGGTGAGGGCCCACCACAGGTCCCAGGGGCCTCGGGCCAGGGGTGCAAGAGATGGATGGTCGCGCAATGGCCAGGTGGGCCAGTGAGGGAGGCTGAGCCATGCTCTGTGGCTCCCAGATCAGAGGTCAGCACGCATGCAGGGCGGGTGGGCTTGCTGAGAATGCATACAGGGTGACAATGCGTGACAGACACCGTGTGTCATGATGCGTCTCCTCTAGAGACATGGCAATCCCCCTTCAGGGAAGAGCTGCCCTTTGTAGCGTGCTCTGTGGTGCTCAGTGGGCCCGGGTCGCTCCAGGGCCATCCGCGCTTCATTGCCTCTGCCAGCAAAGTGTCCTGTCGCCTGTAATGACACGCTTCCCGCGGAGCCGGTGGACAGGGCGGCTCCCCGGGCCTCTCCGTCCTGCTGCTCGGCCGGCTCTGCACGCAGCTCGCTGTGCCTCTGGAATGTAGGTCAGGCGGGCGCTGCACAGCCCCCATGTTTGCAGGACGGAAAGTGGAACCAGACAGCTCCTCTTCAGATGCGCATCCTGGCTGGGCTCAGCAGGAATGCCCCTTTTAGGCTGCTAGGTAGCCGGCAGGTTGCTGCCAGCAGGCGGCAGAGCCCTTCATGCAGCGCCTTGCTGGGCCTGGTATCAGACACAACGGTCCCTGCCCCTGAGGCCGGTGGCACGCAGCACAAAGACAGAGCGGGGTCTACATCAGCGCTCCAAGGACCCACGGATCACCTGGCAGCCCCGGGCTTGGCTAAGCCACACGGCCAGGCACAGGGCAGCCTGTCCCTCCGCTTCTGCCGCGGGGCGCGCATCCCCACCGGCCCGTCCCCCGCTGCCCCTGCAGTCCAGAGACCACGACCACACCTGGCTGGCGGCAGCGTTGCCAACAGTCTCCAAATGAATCCGCCAGTGTCCTCAGCCGGCACGGGCAGGGTTGACACCTGTGTGACACCCACTGCCGGCCCGCCCAGCAGCTCCAGTGCCCCCCATGAGACGGAGGGAGCCCTGCTGGGGCGCAGGCGGCCCCGCATGCAGCTCCGCCAGCAGCGCTGCCCTCAGCCCCGTCTGCCGGGGTCCCCACGTTCGCCTGCACACAGTCACCCCACGCAGGATGTAATTAAGTCCTGTGAGCAGCACTTGGGGACATTTGATTATGTAGGAAAATGCCACAGAAGTGTGAGCTGCTGTGCACAGCGGGTTTAGCCGGCAGTTTCTGACAGTGCTCACTGTGGTGTGGAAATTACCTGCCAGGGACGGGGAGCCGGGCGGGGAGGGCAGCAGGCCCCCTCCCCCTGACTCCCCTCCCCACCCTCTCCCCAGGAGCTGCCAGAGCATGACGAGCCTGTTGAGCAACACTGCCTCGCCCAGCAAGGACGGGCCCTCCTCCCTCCCCAGGAGGCCGAGCGCGCTGGCCAAGGCGCCGCTCCGCGCCCTCTACGACCTGCTCATCGCGCCCATGGAAGGGGTGAGTGCGCCCCAGCACGCAGCTCTGGGCTGTGTGGCTTCTGAGACACAAAGACGGGCTGAGACACCGCCCCAGCCGCGGCCTCTCCCGCCTGGGGAGGCTCTCCCTTGCCCAAGTGGCCTTGTCTTCTTGGCAGGGCCAGGTTGGAGTCGTAGGTCGGCTCCACACAGGCCAGGCGCGTCTGGCCTCGGCGCCCTCCCGTGCGCCCGGAGACAGGGACTTTGCCTGTGGGGAAACCTACCCAGGCGCTTCCTAAGACCCAGGGATGCCTCTGTTCCCCCATCCCTCATCCCGGAATCTCCCCGAATGGCCTCAAGCCAGGGCTGTGCTTGCTGCTAAGAAGGGGCCTCAGACCCATCAGGAACACTGATTCCGCAGCGGTGGCGGCGGCCCGGGCACAGGTGGCCTGCCAGGTGTCCTGTGGCCACACAGCCCGCCCGCCTGGGCTCCGCGCGGCACTTAGTTCAGACAGTTTTTGGTGAGGGACCTTCACAGACCAAGTGGTGAGCCCGGTCACGCCGTCTCCCTGCTGTGGAGGCCTGTTCAGCCACATACTTTCACCCTCCCTCCCCTCTGCAGCACACCACCCCCATTCAAGCCCGGCCCCCTGGCGGCCTCTCTCCCTCCCTGCGTCCCCTCGCAACGAGGGGAGAGCACAGTGCTGTCACCCACCCTCCAAAGCAGAGCTGGAGGCCGCTGCCTTCACCGCCACCCACTGTCGGCCAGCGAGGAGCAGCCAGCCCTCCCCTGTGCACCCCAGCCCCCCACTGCGCCCCGGCATCTCCCGGGGCTGCATTCATGGATGCCGAGGTGGTGGGTGAGAGCAGAGGGGACCAGGGGAGCTGGCTGTGACTGGCATCCTGTGCTGCGAGGCCACAGCCTCTGCGCAGGAGCCTTCCAGCCTCCTCTCCCGCCTGCCACGGCAGCGCTTACTGCTGCACACTGGGCGCCTCCAGCACTGGACACTGGACTGGGCTCAAGACGGAGCCCCTCAGTCTCTTATGATGACACGGGTTTGAAATCAAAGTCTCACAAGTGCCAGACAGGTGCTCTACTTCTTGAGCCACATCCCCAGCCATTTTTGCTTTCCTAGTTTTTTGAATAGAGTCCCACATTTTTGCCCACATTAGTCTCAAACTGCAATCCTCCTGCCTGTGCCTCCTGCGTAGGTGGTATTACAGGCGTGTATCACCACGCCCCACTTACTTGTTGGTATGGAAAGTCTCAACTTCTTCCCTAGGCTTGCCTCAAAGCGTGGTCCTCCCGGTCTCTGCCTCCCAAGTAGTCAGGATGCCTCTGATTCTCCACCCACACTTCAACCTTTGGTCCCTGAAGGGACTGTCTCTTGGGGCCATCACAGGGCCCGGTGTGTGGCTCATGAAATGACAGGTGTTCCCGAGCTGCTTCTGTGTTCAGTCAGCCGCTAGGCTTTGCCAGGTCTCCACAGTGAGTCTAACACTCTCCCAGAGCGGGGGCAGGATGAGGCTGGGCCCCGGACACACCGAGGGGCCCTGGGTCCCCAGGCAGGAATCAGCAGAGGAGTCAGAGGCCAAAGGCAAGAGGCCCTAGAGCTCCCCGGGGAGGGGTGGAAGGCCTGGCATCCCTGGGCACAGGGAGTGGGCTGCCTTCCAGTCTTTCAGGACTCTCCTGTGGTTTAAAGAATAAGATGTGGGGCTGGGAAGGTGGCTCAGTGGTAGAGCGCTTGCCTTGCATGCTCGAGACCCTGGGTTCAATTCCTCAGCACCACATAAGAAAAAAAAAGCCGGAAGTGGCGCTGTGGCTCAAGTGGTAGAGCGCTAGCCTTGAGCTGAAGAGCTGAGGGACAGCACCCAGGCCCAGAGTTCAGGCCCCACGACCGGACCAAAAAAAAAAAAAGAATAAGATGTGCTCACTGGCTAGTGCTAGCCAGGCTGGACAGCCAGATGCCCTTCCATGGCGCAAGGAAGGGGCAGCTTAGGGATCCGAGCCTAGAGCGACAGGAAGGTTCTGCCAGCTGGTGGGGGAGTTGGAAGGAGGTCACGCTGCCCGATACAGAAGTTTCCTACAGCATCCACCATGGGGGGAGGGCTGGAGGAAGGGACGGGTCCCCGCTGGGCATGCTGGGCCCATCTCTAGGGTGAGAGCCGTCTCTGGGTCTTGACAGCTACAGATTTTTTGTTGTTGTTGTTAATGCTGTCAGCCGTGTGTTTTAACAGTGGAAGGAGTTAGGCTTCTTCAGATGAATCCCAGAGTAAAACTTTGAAGCCATGAAAGTAACCAAGCAAAGCAGGGGCCGCCGCTGGGTGCCAGGGGTGGTGCGTCGCCTGTGCCGGGCATGCTGGCCAGCCTGGCAGCACAGAGAGACAGGTCTCAGCCAGCCGCTGATCTTGGCAATGCGGTGCCCCCACTGGAGCTGGAGTGCGGAGGAAGTCCCCTGTCTCCGGCTGCATTCAACAAGTGCTTACTGGCGTGTGCCGAGGTTGGGGGGCGGGGGCAGCTCAGCCTGGGTGACCCCCATTCTCCCCTGGCCGGTGGAGCAGGGAACCCGGGTGCTGCTTCCTCCTCCTGCTCCAAGCGTGCTGCCTCTTGAGGCCACCAGAGGGCGACAGGACACCACTCTCGACTGCCAGGCACAGGGTCTCACCGAGGCCACCTCCACATCAGCACCTGGGGGCGCGGCGCGGGCACGCAGCGTTTGAGCACGCGACTGCCTTCGTGTGGCGGCTGCCCCACTGCCCGGGGACTAGGCCAGCCAGCACGGAAAGTGGGGCAGGGCAGCAATTCCACCGCTGGCGCCCACTGGCCTTTGATGTGATGTCCCGCTCTTCCCTGGAGCGCCGTCCTTTGCTGTCAGGACGGCAAGTGCGCCTTACATCAGCACTCCAGCCGTCACCAGCCGTTAAGTCACATCCTGTCTGACACCCCGGGGAGATGTCAGAGGGAAAGTTGCGAGTGCTTGGTGTGAAAGGGCCTGGCGTGTGTTTGTGTCTGTGGCGTTGTTTTAATCAGATCAGAGTGAAGGATGCCAGGGCAGATGGGACCAGTCCCAACCGTGCAGAGGCACAGCCCAAAGGGCTCATTGTCGGCTGCAGCAGCATGTGGGTGACGGGACCTCGGGCAGGAGGCACAGCTGCTCCTCCAGCGTCCGGCTGCACGGGCTGATCCGGCTCCAGCCGTGTGGCCTCCAGGCTGGGTTAGCGCCGGACGCCCAGGTTTGCTCATGCGCCTCAGATGCCCAGATCTGAGCACACTCCCGGAGGCCTCGCTTGCTTGTCGGCTCCACCAGGCCCATCTTTAGTTGACGTTATTAAAGTTCCATCTTCTATCAGCAAGTCTTACAAACAGAAGTTTCAGACTGCAAACGAGAAACCTGGGCTGAGAAAGGAAGTGCAGCCCATTCACCTGCTCTGGGGAAGACTCGGCTAACCCACAGCCCATTCTCCACCGAACCCGTGGCCCAGACCTCCCACCCGGAGCAGGCAGGGTGTGCCAGGGCAGGCAGGCGCCAGGGCTCTGCCAAGGATTTCCTACAGGGACTCTCTCGTGTTGCAAAATGGCCCCTGCACAGTCGCGTAGCATGAGGCGCACTCAGCCTGGACGGGAGCAGCAGGACAGGCTGGCAGGGTGGGGGCTCAGAGGGGCTGGATCTGTGCTGTGTGTGGAGCGGGGCTGAGGCCCTGGGACCGCAGCCCCCTTGAGTCCCAATGGAGACACGGGTGGTGGCGCTCACATGAGGACAGCAGCTACCCCAGGCCGCCCATCTCCACAAGGAGGCGGCCACCACAGGCGACAAGGACCAACGCAGCGCGTGAGAGCCAGGAGGCCGCGCTTCCAGAGGGAGGACCTGGGCCTCAGCCTCGCGGACGCACACTTCAGCATGCGTTTCTTGAGCCAAAATCTGGGTGCACACAGCCTGGTAGTAGACACTGTTGCTTTGGAAGCAGCTCAGAACCCCAGGCACCATGCGACCCCTCCTCCCCCGCCGTGGCCCTCCAGGGACCAAAACACAGCTACCACGCGACCCTTGTGTGCCCCCGGGGCCAAAGTAGCTCCAAGCCTGAGCTCAGCCCCTGCGGAACATTCTGGCCTGAGAGAGCGCAGGTCTGGATGCTTGGCTCAGGGCAATCCCAGGGCCTCCGCAAACAGCTGTGAGCAATGCTGGGTGAAGATGAGGTCTCCCCTCGATCCTGGGTTGAATTCTGGAGCTGCATTGCGATGGAGGTCATTTCCATGCTTAACTACGGGGACAGCTGCCAAGGCCAGAGAGTGGGGGGACCGAAACGTAGCGATGAGGAGACAGGAACGGGGTAGCAGCGGGGCCGCATCGGCTGCTTGCGAGCAGCTACCCCGAGCACCCCCCCCCCGGGCTGTGGCAGCTCCCGGCCTCAGCTGTGGGAAAGGATGTAGCTGCCCTTGGGATCGACATGTGCCCCAAGCTGCTGCCCCACCTCCTCATGCCCCCCATGCCCAGGAGCACCCCACTTTCCACTCCACAACGCAGCTTCCCCTCCTGGCCCACGGCCCAGGCAGTGGGCAGCTCTGTGGGCAGAATGAGGAGGCAGCGGGAAGCCCTCACCTCTGGGTGGGGACTGATGGGCGCGGGGCGCGCAGGCGGGCCGCGGGGCTGGGAAGGCACGGCAGCTGTGCGTGTCCTCACGCTGGGAGGGAGGGGCGCCAGCAAGATGGCGGGGGCACCCTTGGACCTGTGCAGGAGGCTCTGGGGTGTCCTCACCCTTCTGCAGGAGGGCAGGCTTTGTGTGTGCGCGTGTGTGTGTGTGTGCACACGCGCGTGTGTGTGTGCGCCAGTACCAGGCTTTGAACTCAAGGTCTCTGCGCTCACTCCGCGTTCTTACGCACAGTCCGCTACTCAAGCCTTGCCTTCAGTTGGACTTTTGCTGGTTATTTTGGAGTCTCTGTGTCTTTCCATTCAGAGCTGGCTTTTAACCACAATCCTTTAGCTCTGAGCCTCCTGGACAGCTAGAATTGCAGGCTTCACTCTCTTGACAAAGCTTGGCACCCAGTGCCTCTGACATGAGAAATGCCCACCCTCACCCGGCAGATACGCAGGACTGGGCCTGGGACAAGAGCACTGGAATGCCCTCCCCGGCCCTCGAGCAGCAGCCCCCCGGGCAGCTGTCCCCCTCACTGCCACGGGCAGCCCGCAGCGCGCCAGCTTCCCAGTTCATAGGAGGATCAGCCTGTGTGTTCTCTGGACACACGGGGGGGGGGGGGCGAACTCTCTGACAGGGCTGGCTGGACTCTGCTGGCTGCTCGTCAGCTGACAAATCTGCAGACAGCGCAGGCCGCTGCTGTCATCTGTCACGTGCAGCGTGGGTTGCTGCATTGTGTGGCCGCTGCCCAGCCCTGCCTTGGCCGACACCCACCAGCCAGCTCCACAGACCCCCCAAATATCTGCCTCCCCAAGTTCGCAATCGTCTTCAGAGCTGCAGTGCCTCTTGGGGTCACAGTGGGGCCTTATTGGAGAAAACGGTGGCTGTGCTCCTGTGGCTTCTCAGGAGGGATGGGGTTCCCATAGCCCACGTTGTCTCCTGGGGACCCAGTGCAGCCGGGGACACCCACCTCCGAGGTGGGTCACAGAGGCCCTGGAGTGCAGCCCTCCAGCCCCACCGACGTCGTGGCCCCGTGCCCGGCAGGCCAGCTCCCGCCGGCTGACGCCCAGGGTGCCCGCGCCGGCCCTGCCTTCCCGGCCCCACCCCGCCGCTGTGCTGCCAGCCTCCTGCAGAAACTTGCCTCTGCAGACCATCCCCTTCGTTCCTGGCCCAGCCTGCACACTGCCCTGGCTCACCAGCAGACCCCGCAGGCCTCCCCGCAGCGGTCAGCCGCCGCCCGCACGGCAGTCACGCGCGCTTGCTTCCCCCGCAGGGCCTGATGCACTCGAGCGGCCCGGTGGGCCGGCACCGGCAGCTGGTCCTGGTCCTGGAGGGGGAGCTCTACCTCATCCCCTTCGCCCTCCTCAAGGGCAGCGCCTCCAACGAGTACCTGTACGAGCGCTTCGCCCTCATCGCCGTGCCCGCCATCCGCTCGCTGGGCCCCCACTCCAAGGTAAGGCGCCCAGGCCGGGCGGGGCTGGGGGGGGGCAGCCCGCCGCCTTCGGTCCTCGCTGCCCACCCAGTTCACGTGAGGTCAGTTTCTGCTTCTCCGGTTTTGGAGATCTTCATGTGGACTCTGCCACGGAACAATGTTCCAAGAGGCGAAATGAGTTCAAGCGGAAACCGCATGAGCGTGTCTCCGGGGCTGAGTGCATCTCAGGTGCGAGGGAGCGGTCTCCCGCACGGGCCCTGGGCTGGCAGCACCGGGCACGGGTGCGGGCGCGGCAGTCTCTGTGAGCCTCTGCCGCGAGCTTCCCGATACTGCGGGCAGCAAGGCGAGCGCGAGACCCCGGACATCGCTGCTCCCCAAGAACAGCGCGAGTCCCGGGACCACAACCTGCTCCTCCGCGCACCCCAGAGCTTGTGCTGGTGCCTCTGTGTGCCCCTCGCGGCCTGCTCCCCACGCGGCCAGGCCTTGGCACACTGGCATCCCACCTCTGGAAGCCACTGAGATGCCAGCCGCGCCCTCCAGCAGCCTCTGCTGTGTCCCCTCCTAGGGCCACCTGAGGAAGACCCCGCCCACCTACTCCAGCTCCTCCTCCATGGCGGCCGTCATCGGCAACCCCAAGCTCCCGTCGGCGGTGATGGACCGGTGGCTGTGGGGGCCGATGCCCTCGGCGGAGGAGGAGGCCTACATGGTTTCCGAGCTGCTGGGCTGTCAGCCCCTGGTGGGCAGCATGGCCACCAAGGAGAGGGTCATGAGCGCCCTCACCCAGGCTGAGTGCGTCCACTTCGCCACCCACATCTCCTGGAAACTCTCCGCCTTGGTGCTCACCCCCAGCGTGGACGGCAACCCTGCCGGGAGCAAGAGCTCCTTCGGCCACCCCTACACCATCCCCGAGTCGTTGCGGGTGCAGGATGACGCCAGCGATGCGGAGAGCATCTCGGACTGCCCGCCCCTGCGGGAGCTGCTGCTCACGGCCGCCGACCTCCTGGACCTGCGGCTGCCTGTGAAGCTGGTGGTGCTCGGGTCCCCGCAGGAGGCCAACGGCCGGGTCACAGCCGATGGGGTGGTGGCGCTGACACGGGCCTTCCTGGCTGCCGGTGCCCAGTGTGTGCTGGTGGCTCTGTGGCCGGTGCCCGTGGCCGCTTCCAAGATGTTCATCCATGCCTTCTACTCCTCTCTGCTGAACGGCCTGAAGGCCAGCGCGGCCCTGGGCGAGGCCATGAAGGTGGTGCAGAGCAGCAAGGCCTTCTCCCACCCCTCCAACTGGGCAGGTAGGCGGCGGCCAGGGGCCAGCCGGGGGAGGCGGGCGCATGCGCCAGGCAGGGAAGGCTGCGGCCCCGAGGCCCGAGGTCTGCTCAGGGTCTCCCGTGGTGCCAGTCGCCCTTTGTGTCACAGTGAGAATGTGGTAGTTGGTGAGCGCTGTGGCCACTTCACAACACTCCGTTTGGGACCCATGCCAGGGGGAGCCCGGCCAGTTGGCCACTGGATGACAGGAAAGCGCCGGTGCCGGTCCTGGCTGCGTGTCCCCGGCCTGTGGTGGTGCTGGCCCCACTGCCCCGGCCATCATTTGGTCGTTGTGGGCAGAGGGGCTGGGCTTCATACGGCAGGCGTTCCTGGCCAGAGACGGGCTGTTCCCAGTGGCAGCATTGCTGAGTGGCGAAAGATGGCTCAGGCAGGGGGCGGGGGAGCCTCTCGAGGCCTCAGGGAGCAGCACCCAGAGGAGCCCAGGGAGCAGCCCGAGGCTCCCCGGAACACCCCAGCACCGCACACCGCACCGGTGGCGTCCACATGCCGCACAGCTGGGCAGTGTGGGCTCTAAAGGGCCGGGGACCGAAGGGCCGGCAGCGGGTGGGCACCTGGCCTGCGCCTGGCTCTCCGCTGGGGCCAGCGCAGGGCTGTCAGCTGCCCGCTGAGAGTCTCCTTGCTGCCCTCCACAGGCTTCATGCTCATTGGGAGCGATGTGAAGCTTAACAGCCCCTCGTCACTCATCGGCCAGGCGCTCACAGAGATCCTGCAGCACCCCGAGCGGGCCCGAGATGCTCTGCGTGTGCTGCTGCACCTGGTAAGGCGGGGCGGGGACGGTGGGGGGGGGCTGGCATCCCCCACCTCGATGCGTCCTGGCTGGGCAGGTCACTTTGGAGCTCCCAGCTCCTGGCACACAGCAGGGCCCGCACTGTCATATCTGCTCTCACAGCTGCTGCCAGTGTCTCCTCGCTCGGGTGGGGCAGAGCCTGATTTTGCCTTGGCTGCACCCACATCTTCAAGGCCTGCTAAGAGGCCGCGCATCATGCCCGCAAAAGTGAAGCCATCACACACCAGTGGCTCACGCCTGTAATCTAGCTGCTCAGGAGGCTGAGCTCTGAGGATAATGGCTCAATGCCAGGCCAGGCAGGAAAATCTGTGGGACTCTTATCTCTAGTTAACCACCAAAAAAGCCAAAAGTGGAGCAGTGGCTCAACGTGGTAGAACCCTAGTCTTGAGCAAAATAAGCTCAGGGACAGCGCCCAGGTGCTGAGATCAAGCCCGGGACTAGCACACAAACACACAGTTATTAAGTCAAGAACAAGGAGGTGAAAGCCATTCCCTGCTTCCTCCTGGAAGTCAGCTTCCCATCCCATTCGACCCTTGGCGGCAGTGGGCTGAGGGCCAGCAGGACCAAGGCCGACGCTGACCGGGGCCCGCCACGCCTCCTCCACCTCTTCTCACAGCGGCCAGCAGTCCCTGAAGGGCGGGGGCGGTGGCCCCCCAGCTCCAGCGCCCTCACGCAGGACCCAGGGGGCCAGGCGGGCAGGCTGCACCTCTGCAGGCAGCTGCGGCTCCTCGCCAGGACGAGGAGAGAAAGCACTCACCGCAGGGCTCCCCAGGGACTTGGCAGTGGGCTTCCTGGGGTCTCCATCACCGCCAGGCCCCGTTCCTGGCTGCTGCCCGACTGCGTCTCTCAGATGGCGCCTCTGCCCCAGCCCTCAGGCTCATGATGGGCTCTCTTCCTCAGCTTCATCTCCTGGGGAGGGTCTGAGTTCTCTAACCAGCCCTGGTGCTCCTTGACCCCAGGGGGCAGTGTCTCCAAGGCCCTCTGGCTGCAGGGACAGCGGGGCCAGTCATTCCTGCCCATGACGCGGGCATCTAAGCCCAGCATCTATGTTGCACTTAAAAAAAAAATTGCTGTTGTTACAAAGGTGACGTGCAGAGGAGTTCCAATTACATACGGCAGGTCAAGAACATATTTCTTTTTGGGCAATGTCACTCAGGTCCTCAAATGCCCCCTAGCCCAGAGTCTTGGGCAGGATCCCCTGGGGAGAGGTCCTGTGCCGGCTCAGTGTGGTTTCAGGCTCGGGGGCTGCTGGTGGGGTCCAGTACCGGCCGTGCCAAGAGCAGAGAAGGGGTGGAAGAAATCCAGGGAAGGGCACTGCCAGCCGAGCTCTGGGATGGGTGGGCCCTGCTGGTATGCCAGAGGTTTTGAAGGATGTGAGGTTTACCTGCAGCGGTGGCAGGAGCGCTCTATTGGGGCAGGTTGGTCTGAGAATTATTTGTGGGCAAATTGAGTTGGTGTCTGTGGAAGAGCGGGGGAGGGACAGAATCCCCCCGCCCCCCCCTCCTGCCCAGCTCCAGCCCTGCTGCTGGCATCAGACCCTGCCTGCATCCGCGCCCGGTGATGACGGCAGCACCACATCCTCTGCCTGGCCCGGCCTCACGCCCGTGTCCCCACAGGTGGAGAAGTCCCTGCAGCGGGTCCAGAACGGGCAGCGCAACGCCATGTACACATCCCAGCAGAGCGTGGAGAACAAAGTGGGTGCCGTCCCCGGCTGGCGGGCCCTGCTCACTGCCGTGGGCTTCCGCCTCGACCCCCCGGCCAGCGGCCTGCCAGCGGCCGTCTTCTTCCCAACCTCAGACCCAGGCGAGCGGCTGCAGCAGTGTAGCAGCACCCTGCAGGCCCTGCTGGGTGAGCAGGGGTGCGGGCAGTGGGGGCAGGGGTGGGGTGCTGCGGGGGAGCAGGGGTGCAGGCAGTGGGGGCAGGGGTGGGGCGCTGCGGGGGAGCAGGGGTGCGGGCAGTGGAGGCAGGGGTGGGGCGCTGCGGGGGAGCAGAGGTTTAGGGCAGTGGGGGCAGGGGTGGGGCGCTGCGGGGGAGCAGAGGTTTAGGGCAGTGGGGGCAGGGGTGGGGCGCTGCGGGGGAGCAGAGGTTTAGGGCAGTGGAGGCAGGGGTGGGGCGCTGCGGGGGAGCAGAGGTTTAGGGCAGTGGGGGCAGGGGTGGGGCGCTGCGGGGGAGCAGGGGTGTGGGCAGTGGAGGCAGGGGTGGGGTGCTGCGGGGGAGCAGAGGTTTAGGGCAGTGGAGGCAGGGGTGGGGTGCTGCGGGGGAGCAGGGGTGCGGGCAGTGGGGGCAGGGGTGGGGCGCTGCGGGGGAGCAGGGGTGCGGGCAGTGGAGGCAGGGGTGGGGTGCTGCGGGGGCCACACTGCAGGCAGTAGGGGTGGTGCGGTACAGTGGGGGCCGCAGCCCCAGTTAGGCCAGGTCTCAGAGCCAGAAGTGGCAGGGTCCCCGTGGCTACTGCACTGACCTGGGGCCCCCAAGCCAGCCAGTCTCCCCATCCCTCATGTGCACGGTCTGAGTGGCATGGCTCCTTTCTGGCGGCCGGAGGCGGGAGGGGGAGCAGCACAGCCAATGCTGGCGGCCGAGCATCTGAGGGGTCCTGAAGGGGAGCCACGGAGAGCAGAGAGGAGCAAGGCCCCACGCACCCCTGTCCTCTGCCCGTCTAAGCTTCTGATCAGTGGCACCAGCGCTGAGCTTTAGGGAGCCCCCTCCCCTCGAGGGGAGCAGCTGGTGCTGAGGCCCCTGTCCTGGCCAGGTCTGCCCACTCCTGCCCTCCACGCGCTGTGCAAGCTCATCACGGCCTCGGAGACGGGCGAGCAGCTCATCAGCCGGGTAAGCGGCCCAGAGCCTTGATTGGCGGGGGGGGGGGGAGGGGGGATGCAGGAGACGGGGTCCTGTCCTGCCGGTCCCTTGTCGTCCCCAGTCCTGTGACTGCAGGGAGAGGGCGGGTGAGGCCTGAGGCAGTTGGCGGAGTGTTCTCTAGACACAGCCCTGGAAGCACAGTGGTTCCCAGGGTGCTCATGGGCAACTCTGGGGTTCCCACGTCTCCTGAGTGTCCTTCCGCACCAGCACCCCGCCCTGGCCAGGCCGAGTGACTGGCGTGACGCCACTGTCCCCGCACCAGCAGGCGTGAGCAGCTCCACCACGCACGCGCCGCCGCTCCCGAAGCCAAGGAGCCCGGGCACAGCAGAGCGAGCGAGCTCTGCTTCCGGAAAGGCCGACCTGGTGCAGGGGTTTGGGGGTGTCCAGTTGGAGACCAGGGAGGCCCAGCCCAGCCTTGGAGCTTCTCTGTACCTGCCGCCCCTCTGTGGGCTGGCGAGGGGGATCTGGGGGGGCCGCCAGGTGTGGGAGGGTGTACCATGGCGCCACCACCTGGCGGGGGCACAGAGCAGTTGTTTCCGGTCATCTTGGAGGTAACAGGAAAACAGAAGGCACTAGTGTGAGAGGCCTCAGCCCACCTCACCTCAATCCACCTCGTTTCCCCAGGGGGGCCAATGCCCCCCTGCCTGTCCCAGACTTGTTCCCTCCTGGAGCCTTGCAATTCGCCTGCCACCTCTGCTTGGGAACTGCACTAGGAGACACTTCCGAATATCACACGCTGAAACACGCAGCGCCCAGGAGGCCTCCAGAATCACGCTAGAATCACAGCCCTGCCCCCGCAGGGCAAGGCAGAGGCCGGCGCGGGAGCTGGGCGCTCCTGGCTCTGGGGCGGGAAGTGTCCTGGGCGGAGCTGCTGCGGCGGGCCTGGCTGTGCATCTCCTGCGTCCCTGCCTCTCGCTGCCTCCACCGCCCGCGTGCATAACTGCTGAGCTTGAGTCTAAACTCTTCTTTCTCTCTTTTTCTTTCTTTCTTACAATCTGCTGGCGGAAGGCTGTTAAAAATATGGTGGGAATGGTGAGTACAACTTTAAGTAGCAACTGCTGTCAGGTGAGCGCCGCACCCGCCCCGCTGGCCCGGGGGTCTGTCCCTTCCTCTGCTCTGACTATCCACCCTTCTGTGTCCTTGATGTGACCCTTGACCTTCCACCCCAACAGCCGGGGCCGAGCCAACACTCAGCGATCACAGGAAGGTCCCTGGGCGACCGTGGGGCCCCCAGGAGCCCCGCGGTGCAGCGTTCATTCCAAACATGAGTTATTTAAATTCATAAAGAAAAAAGGAGTGAGGTGACTAGTCCCCCAAATCCTCCAGCGCCCAGGCAGAGGCGACCACAGGGCCTGTGCTGCCACAGCCTGTGGGCCATGGCGCCCCACAGAGGGCAGGCGGCGTGAGGCACTTCCAAACCAAAGCCAAAGGCGGTACCGTGAGGGAGGCAGCAGGCGAGAGGCTGGCCAGGCCAGGCCAGGCTTGGCTGGCGGCAGGCGGAGGGGAAGCTGCAGCAGGGGGGCCGGCGGCACGCTCACGTCTGTCTCCCTCTCAGCTTCACCAGGTGCTGGTCCAGCTCCAGGCCGGGGAGAAGGAGCAAGACTTCGCATCGGCGCCCATCCAGGTGTCCATCAGCGTCCAGCTGTGGCGGCTCCCGGGGTGCCATGAGTTCTTGGCCGCTCTTGGTAGGACAGAGCGTCCGTGGCTGCATGCTTCATGGCTTCTCGTGGTGCTCTGGGTCCTACCTCCGTGTTTCCGCTTAGAGATGGTGCACTTGGAGTCCAGTGCTTTTGCCTGACTCCCTCCAGCTCTGGCCACCTCCCCCGCATCAGGCATCACCTCTGTCGCTCAGGCGGAGCAGTGTGTCTGTCACAAAGGCACGGCTGTCCCCGCAGGGCCTGGGTCCCCTGGGCAGCCCCCCTGTGGGCCTCTTCCCTAGGGGACGTCCCGGCAGGCCCTGGGCTCCTGCGCTCCAGCGGCCCTCCGGCCTCAGACTCAGGCAGGCCGCGTCTCTCAGCAGGTCGTCTGGCCAATGGCCACTGCTCTGTAGCCACGCCAGGGCTCCTTCAGAAGGGCTGCGGCCTGGGCTCCACCAGAGCCGCCAGCACAGGTGGCTGCAGCTCCCTTGGGCTTTGGCTAAGGGGGACAGAGAGCCCTTTGGGGGGCCCCAGAAAGGGAACTGGTAAGCACTGGCTCTCAGCCCATGGTGGAAGACACAGACTAGGGGTGCTTGGCAGACCCCCACCCCCCTGCAGGGCCTGTTCTGTCCTGGGCGTGCAGGTGCACAGGCGGGGAAGCCAAACATGAATGAGCTGCACACCCTGGCTCACCAGAGCCTGGCTGGGGCAGGACGCGGGCGCTGTGGGGAGAGGCGGGAGAGGCGGGCTGCGTGGGGCAGCGCCATCGCGTCAGGCCGCAGCCCGGCCCTGCCCTGGCCGGGCCCCATGGGGGTCCGGTGCCTGTGCAGGCTTCTTCCTGGGGAAGCAGACATTTCTATCCCATGGCTCCCCAGGCTTTGACCTCTGTGAAGTGGGCCAGGAAGAAGTCATCCTGAAGACCGGGAAGCAAGCCAACCGACGGACCATGCACTTCGCACTGCAGGCCCTGCTGTCCCTCTTTGGTGAGCGCTGCCGCCGGCCCCGCGGCGGGCGGAAGAGCAGCGACCGCTGGCGTGTGTTAGAGAGTCCCAGCAGCAAGCAGAGCGCTTTGCTCTCAGGGTGTTCGGTCCCCGGGCGGGGGAGTTGTGTGCCCAGTGCTGATGTGGGCTGGAGGAACACAAAAGCGGGGTCCAGGGCTGGGGGAGGCAGGGGAGCGGACGGCGTAGTGACAGGACACACCTGTCCCTCGCAGGCCCCGAGGGTGAGTGTGGCTGCGGAGGAAGCGCCCTGGGCCGCCTGGCTGAGCCAGTCTGCCACGGGGGCAGGCCGGCCGTGGGCAGGGCAAGTGCCAGCTGTGACAGGGGCCGTGGTTTGGGGAGTTTGGTCCTGCTGGCTCACCAGGACAGGACGGTTGACAGTGGGGCAGCCGTGGGCTGGAGGTCAGGGAAGAGCAGAGGCTGGGCTCAGTGGTGGCTTCTGGTTGGAAGCTTTGACCCACTTGGGCAGCTGGCTCAGTGTGCTTATCCACACCCCAGGGGTCCACGCACACACACACACACACACACACACACTCAGGCGGGGTGGGCAGGGCAGGTGTGAGCTGTCGGGATCTGGCACATGGCCGAGTGCCCACAAGCCTGGCGGGTTCACAAGGGGGCCGCTGGCACGGAGTGGGCTGGAGCGGGCACAGGGCGGCCCACGCACCCGGGAGTCCTGGGCGCTATGGAGGCCAGGAGATGCCCTGGATAGGAGAACTGCCTGCCGTGGCTGGGCCCTGCCGGTCACTTGGCTTTTTGGTTATGGTGTTCTGGTTATCTGGTGTATGTACTGGTGGTTCCCACGCCTATTAGAGCTAACTGCCGTCGCCATGTTTTGTGCTTAGATTCCACAGAGCTCCCTAAGCGCCTCAGCCTCGACAGCTCGTCCTCCCTGGAGTCCCTGGCATCGGCCCAGTCTGTGTCCAATACCCTGCCCCTGGGCTACCAGCACCCCCCCTTCTCCCCCACGGGGGTGGAGAGCATCGCCTCCGACGCCATCTCCGTGTACAGCCTGAGCTCCATCGCCTCCTCCATGAGCTTCGTCTCCAAACCTGAGGGCGGCTCAGAGGGCGGGGGCCCCCGAGCACGGCAGGACCACGACAGACCCAAGGCAGCGTTCCCGCAGCGGGCGACCCTGCCGCGGCGCCAGCTGTCCCCCCAGGCCCGGCCTGCCGGCGGCGGCGACAAAGACGAGGAGGAGTATGAGGGCTTCTCCATCATCAGCACGGAGCCCCTGGACCCCAAGCAGCCCCGAGCTGGTGCAGCAGGAGGCATGAAGGTCTCGGTCAGCTCCAAGGGGAGCATCAGCACCCCCAATTCCCCCGTGAAGATGACTCTGATCCCCAGCCCCAACTCACCCTTCCAGAAAGTGGGCAAACTGGCCAGCTCGGACACCGGCGAGTCTGACCAGTCCAGCACCGAGACTGACAGCACCGTGAAGTCCCAGGAGGACAGCGCCAAGCTGGACCCCCAGGAGCTGGCCCAGAGGATCCTGGAGGAGACCCAGAGCCACCTGCTGGCCGTGGAGCGGCTGCAGCGGAGCGGGGGCCCAGAGCGGGAGGAGGGCGGCCCGGCGCCCAGCGGCGCCACCGTCTTCCGCGCGTCGGAAACCAGCGCCTTCAGCAGGCCTGTCCTCTCCCACCAGAAGAGCCAGGCGTCCCCTGTCCCTGTCAAGCCAAAGCCCCCGGCCCGGAGCTCGTCCCTCCCCAAGGTGAGCTCCGGGTACAGCAGCCCCGCCCCCTCGGAGCCGTCCAGCAAGGACCAGAGCCCGGCCAGCGGGCGCCCGTCGCCCGGCTGTGACACCCCAGCGTCGCTGACAGAGCCGCCGCTCTTTCGGCTCAAGTACCCCAGCTCCCCATACAGTGCTCACATTTCTCAGTCACCCCGGAACGTGTCCCCCTGCTCAGGACCCCAGTCCCCGGCCTGCAGCGCTCCGTCCCCCGCGCTCTCCTACTCCTCCACCGGCTCCGCCCGCTCCAGCCCAGCCGACGCCCCCGACACCGACAAGCGGAAGCTGGCGGCCATCGACGAGAAGGTGCAGGCCGTGCACAACCTGAAGATGTTCTGGCAGAGTGCTCCCCAGCACCCCACCGGCCCCATGAGAATATTCCGTGGCGCGCCGGGCACCCTGACCTCCAGGAGAGATGTCCTGAGCCTACTCAACCTCTCGCCCCGGCACAATAAGAAGGAGGAGAGCGTGGACAAGCTGGAGCTCAAGGAGCTGTCTCTGCAGCCCTGCAGTGAGGCGCCCCCCAAAGTCCCTGCCAACGGCCACTGGCGCCCCGAGACCTCCGCACTCCCCCTGCCCAGCGGGCCCCCCGCGGCGGCCCCCACTCGCCCTCTGAGACTGCCCACCGCCAACGGCTACAAGTTCCTGTCCCCCGGGCGCTTCTTCCCCTCTTCCAAGTGCTAAGTCCCCCCCCCCCCCGTGCCCTCCGTGCCAGGCACGGCACCACAGGGGCCCCGCTTCCTCGGCCCTCCCCGCCCCCGCCCCGCGCCAGCCAGCCGCACACAGACTGGCCCGCTGCGGGAGGGGCACTGCCGTGCACACGCCACCGTTCCCGCTCGTGGCTCCTGCGGCCACATTCGCCAAAAGCCAGGACTCGGGTGGGCGGGCGCCCGAGGCACGCGGCACTTCTGACCACTGGGCCACTTCCCACGTTTGGTGTGATTTCACAGAAGGATTCTGCACGTGTGGTCACGGTCCTGGGTGGGGAGAGGAAGGCACACATATTTTGCTACAAGGTCTACATGAGTCTTTTTATACACAGAAGTACAAAAGGCTTTTTTAAGGCTTCAGGTGCTGGGGTGTGGGGGAGCAGGTTTACATAAAATCTAAGTTGAATTCTACATGAAAGCGTTATCTTAGCCAAAACCAGAATGATGGTGGTTAAATGCCAATGACTGGAACTGAATTGTAGCAACTTTGGTCTCCTGGTATTGGAACCCCACAGCCAATGCAATAATTCACCTCCAAACGCTTCTGTCCGCAGCTGCGCTGTCTGCCGGCCTGGCCAGGGTCCTCTGGGCCCGGTGTCAGCCACACTTGAATCTTCTGTAACTCTTACACAGGCATTTTAGAACTATGCAATTGTGATTTAAAATGCAACTTTGTGCTTTTAAACCATTACTGACCTTTTTTGTACACGGACAAACATCTTGTTTTATTATCAATAGAACTTTGCAATTTATAGCTATTATTTTTAAAAGCTCAAAAACGTTTTTACAATGTCAAATTTTGAATACTCATCCGTAAGCAATTATCAAGTTTTGGGGGAAATGACTGAAGTCATTCTGTTTCCTTATTGAGGAGAAAAAGAAAAGGAAAAAAGGTGCCACGGTTAGCTAGACTATAGCAGAACCTCGCTTTCCACTCCCGTCCCTTCTACTAGCAGCTCGTCTATAACCCCGTTTCCCAGCCCAGACCCCAAACGCTGCCATCCAGCGTTTGCCATCCAGTCTGGTCAGGGGAACTAGTAACTTATTTTAATAAGAAAAGGAAACGCTGAGAATCACCAAGTCCTCAGTCTTTAGCTAACTCGACAGGTAAGATGCGTAAGATGCTCGCATCCCCTCTGGGCGCACGGGGCCAGCGGGGCAGCTGCAGTGCCCCAGAGAGGCGCTCACTCGGCCCTCCCCACGTCCTCTGCGCTCCCCTGAGCTGCGCCCACAGGCAGGGCAGCAGTCACGGGACAGACGAGGCTGGCACGTTCTGCCCCGGCCCCAGCCCTAGAGGAGCTGCTTCCTAAGGAACGGGTCTCTCATGTTATAGAGGAAAGGAGCGAACAAAGCCACAACTGTAGCACTGTGCATTTAGATAGCCAGGAACCAACCTCACAGCAGACCAGCGGACGCAGGAGCCAAGGCCAGGCCGCCTCCTGCTCAGCCGCCCTCAGCCTCAGCTTCCTCCAAATGCCGGAGCCACGCAGGCCCCGCTGGCCACCTCTAGCCAACACCCCCGCCCCCCCAAGCCAGCACGAGGACTCACAGACTGCCCTGCCCTTCCACTGTTTTAGGTCTCACACTGCACACACAAATGATACATGGGATTATTGGGGATTGGTACGATAATCTTGTCAATCTCAAGGTCACCACAATCACCACGTCACGTTTACTGTCAGTCTCGGGGTTTCTGTACAGGTGGAATGGATGTAAACCAGAGTGGGAGAAAGTAGCCCCGACCGTGCAGGAGAGTGGACGGCCAGAGCGTCTCTCCGCAGATAAGACTGGCGGTTGTGACCCACAGGCTGCTGGCATCTCTGCCCCAAGCGCCTGTGCGGTTCCCACCCCTCGCACCTTCCAGTCCCACCGCAGAAGAACCTACATGCTAGTCCTGATTTTGCCTCGGCCTTTACGAGAAAGTTTGCCAGTTCCTGGTATAGAGGAGAAAAAAAAATGCAACTGGAACGTTGTTTCTACGGAACGCTCCCAGACCAGTCGGGAGACGGACAGGACCGGCTGGCCTTGACAGTCTGTGGACACCCCCAAGGCTCTGCTCCCAGGGCTCTCACCCCACCTGTGCGGGCCGCTGGCCCAGGTAACAGATACTAAGTGTCTTTGCTTTCCCTTTGCAGACTGCATTGGATCTCTACCCTCCCCCCCCCAAGGGAGATGCCACACCCTGCCCTGTCCTGCCCTGCCCAACAGACCACACACATGAACACAAGCAATAAACCCCTCTCACAGCTGCAGGAGGACTCAGAGCCAGGCAGCCAACCCGCCCGCACCATGCACCAGATCCACTCCCACAGGAGACCAGCTTCCATTCTGACGTCGGTGTGCAGCAAGGCGCTCACAATCCACATGGTTACGTAGGAGGCGAGACATGATCCTGACCCCTTGCCCACAGGCACCAGGGCCTTGGAGGGTGGCCCGGTCAGTGCCTGGCCTAGCCGCCCCCAGGCCCTCGGGCTCCAGGTGGAGCGGAGCAGCTCGCTAGCTTCAGGTCAGGCTGGACAAGGCACATGATGACTTGGTTTGCTCTTAGGAGGCAAAAGGTAGAGGCTGCCATTTCTACCCCGTTTTGTTTTATCCCAGATGACTGAATGGCTGTGCGCATGGTCTGTGAGCCGGGCCTGCCCCTCAGCGGTGCCCAGTGAGCCCCTCCCCCTCCCTCCCACACCCCACTTGGCATTCACGCTCCTTACACAGTGTTAAGCCACCTTTGGCCTACATGGACATATTTTGTAAATGACAGTTTCCAGACAGTGTTAAACTTTTTATATTCCAGAATTTGCCATGTAAAAAGAACGTCATATTTTTATTGAGGCTTGTGGGGCACTTGGCCCCTCCCTTTGTGATTTCTGTGTCTATTAAAGCATGACGTCCTTGCTCTAACCACCGTCTCTGTGTCACCCCCACGCCGCCGGCTCTGCACGGAGCACTCGCGGCCGGCGTGCAGGGGAGGGCAGCCCGGCCCCCTGCCTGCCCTGTGGGTGGCGGCCTGGGGGGCTGACACCTTGGCCATCAGGAATCACAGTTGGAGGGCTAGAAAATTCTAGAGATCCTGATTCTGCTATATCTCTAAGGAAACTTGGGAGGTGTTTGAGAAGGAAGGAAAGCAATCCTGTCTGTGAAAGTCTAGAAGGCACGAAGGATGGGGAGCAAGAACTGGCTAAGTGAATACAGCAAACACTGTAAAACAGAGATGTCCCACGTGTGCAGCAATAAAAATAATGCGCAGACATATGTAGAACAAGGTTAAAATGCTGGAAACTTGAGGGCAGAAAAGAGATTTTTAAAAATAAGTTAAATATGCATAATCACAGAAATAGAAGGATTATGCCTCTAAATTGGCAGAAAAGAAACACAATGATGTTTTAAAATGTCATTTGATCCAGGCACTGGTGGCTCACGCTTATAATCCTAGCTACTCAGGAAGCTGAGATCTGAGGATCATGGTTTGAAGCCAGCCCAGACAGAAAAGTCCCCATGAGACTCATCTCTGACAGTTAACCACTCTGAAGTCAGAAGAGGCGCTGTGGTTCAAGTGGCAGAGCACTAGACTTGAGCACAGAGTCTCAGGGACAGCGCCCAGGCCCTGAGTTCAAGTTCCAGAACCAACAACAACAAAAAAAGATAAAACAAGACAAATCAATGAAAAATTAGGACAAATGTAAAATGAAAACTAAATTATTAAGAACAATCAAGTGAACTAAACAATTACAAAGCAGATTTGACAGATGACGGCAATATACCACTCTTTAAACACCTTGTGCTGTCTGAGAAAAACTCCACCAAGGCCCGGAGTGTCCATGATAACAGCTGAAGGACGGCGTGGTACGTGTTAGACAGGGCAGATCCACTGCCTACCTTGATAAACTTAGCAAAGCCAACATTCCATGCTTCGATTCAGCAGCTTTAAAATACAGAAGTAAAAACTGCCAGACCTATAGGGTCTGGGACAATAGATACCGTAAGAGATTTCTAATCCTCTATTGGCAATAATTGATAGTACAGACAAAAAACAATCCAAAAGCATGTGTGGAAGTTTAAGCAATTCAGCCAGACATGGTGGCACACACCTGTAATCTCAGCTACTCAGAAAGTGGGAGCAGGAGGATTATGGTTCTAGATGAACACAGAGTAAACACCAAAAAGAGGTGCTGAGGATGTGGTTCAGCGGTAGAAGTCTTCCTTAGCATGTGCAAGGCCCTGGGCTTAATCCTCAGGACTGTCACACAAACAGAATTCATGGGGCTGGGAGTGTGGCCTAGTAGAGTACTTGCCTAGCATGCATGAAGCCCGGGGTTCAATTCCTCAGTACCACATGAATAGAAAAAGCTGGATGTGGCGTTGTGGCTCAAGTGGTAGAGTACTAGCCTTGAGCAAATGAAGCTCAGGGACAGTGCCCAGGGCCTGAGTTCAAGTCCCAGGACTGCCAAAAAAAAAATCAAATTCACAATTCATCAAATAAGCTTATTTTTCACTTCTGACAGTGAGGCCACATTCTTCACATGTCACACAGGGTGCTTTAGGAAATGTCACAGTCCGAGTAGGTATTCTTGGCAAATACTGACAAGTAGGGATCGCTACCACCATGCAGAACACAATACAAAGAAGGCAGTCAGGGGCTGGGAAGGTGGCTCAGTGGTAGAACGCTTGCCTTGCATGCCTGAGGCCCTGGGTTCGATTCCTCAGCACCACATAAGCAAAAAGAAAAAAGCCAGAAGTGGCGCTGTGCCTCAAGTGGTAGAGCGCTAGCCTTGAGCTGAAGAGCTGAGGGACAGCGCCCAGGCCCAGAGTTCAGGCCCCATGACCTGACTGCCCCCCAAAAAAAGAAAAAGAATAAGAAAAAGAAGGCAGTCAGAAAGAACTGCAGGTTTATCTTGATTCAGCTCTCCCTCAACGAGTAACCACTCTACCTTCTGTTTATATTTATTTAGAAAAGAAGGAAAAGTGCATTTTAAGCAAATCAAATAT